CTAACTAGGCTTCAGCCTAGGGCCTCAAGATCCAGAGGGGCCTACACAGTGTGGGATTCTGGGGGTTCTAGGTGGCTCGGCCGAACCCTTTGTTAAATTGCTGGCTCCCCCGCCCCTCCGCACCACTATTTATTGCCAATAAATAGTGGTGGGCGAGGGGCGGGGGAGCCAGCAATTTAACAAAGGGTTCGGTGTTTTTTTTTGTAATTTTATTGGCCCCCGGAGCTTCAGCAGAGGCTAATTGGCCTCCCGGCTCTCAGCTGATTTGTCTCCGCTGTTTTGCTCAGGGCTCTTCTGCTTCGGTGCAAAGAAACGAAACTGAAACTGCTTTGCTGTTGCTGCAAGGTTGGAAAATTAGGCAGGCAGAATTCTTTTCTTTTTCCTCACCAAAAAAGGTACGTGCAAACAATGGGAATTTTAGGGGAAAAGAGAAGAGTTCAGGATTTTAAAAAACAAAAGAAAAAAAAGCTGTATTTAACTAGGGAATTGTAATAATTGAGATACTATTAATTGTATATTTCTGAAAGCAGAAATGGTTAAGTTGTGGTTTGGAGGAATATATGGGGGAAATTATTTGGTTTATTATTATTGGTAAATATAATTAATGGATTTGTAAGAAATTGGATTGCATGGAAATAATTGGAATATTCATGTTCATATTGATTAATATACAAAAAAGGTAGTTATATAACTAATTGATTTATATTAAAATGTTGAATTTATATTAAACAACTAATATTACATAATTAACCAATGTGAGGATGGATATAAAAATAGATGACAATGGGAAGGGGTATAATATAGAATAGAAGGGAAAAATTGAATTTGATTAAGATTAGAGATGAGGATGAGGGTAATATTGGTTTTTTACAAAAATAGATGAGGAATAAATATGGCAAAAAGGAAATATAGAAATTGTAAATTTAATTGAAATGACTAAACACTGTTTAAATTTGTGAACCGGCCAAATACTCTGTTCAAAGAAAATACATTGTATGTTTGTATGTGTGTTTCTAATTATTGTTATTTATTCATATTTGTTCTCTTTTATTCTTTAAAGTTTAACAATTCATTCTTTATCTTAATATCTTTATATTTGTTTGGGGTTGGCTTTCTTCCCTTTCATCTTTTTTATTGTATAGCAATCTTTCTCCTCAAACCTACCACCTCTCTTTTCTTTCCTTCTTACTTTCTCTTCCTCCCCCTCTTCTTCTCCTCCCTACTTCCTCTTCCTTTCTCCTTCTCCTCCTCTCTTCCTCCCTCTCTCTCCTACTCTAATTTCCCTTCCCTTCCTTCATCCCTCTCTATTGCTGTATCCTTTTATGCATATGGACTACTCAGAGGGCTGAAAAAGTTATTTCTGACTGGTCCTTGCACTTTTGACCAGTCCTTGAACTTACGACTGTCCTCACATTTTACGTTTTTGCCCTATCTTGTTACCATGGTGAAGAAAAGCAGTTGTGAAATGAGTGACATGGTTGTTAAGAAAGCTGCACGGGCATAAATGTGAGGATGGTCATAAGTGTGAGGACCGGTCAAAAGTGCGAGGCCCAGTCAGAAATGACTTTTTTCAGCCCTCTGAAAAAAGTCTATGCACATAGCCACGCCCACCCGGTCACATGACGAGTTACCCATGCCTACAGTCACGTGACCAGCTAGCCACGCCCACCCAGTCACATGATTGCCAAGCCACACCCCCAACTAAGCCACGCCCACATAACCTGTTGTTAAAAAATTGAATCCCACCACTGGTGAAAGGGCCTCATAAGTGGAATAGCCTAGGGCCTCTTTCAATCTAAATCCGGCCCTGCCCATGGGGTGCTTAAATCTGGCCTGTGGGGCCAGCCTGGAGATAGCAAAGGCCTGGCCCATGGTGCCTCTGGCAGCCAAAACGGGGTGCAGGGCCCCCCGCGCATGCCCTCCACGCTCCATTTTCAGCCTGGATGGCCTCCTGCAGCACTCTGCTGGCCCTATGCCCCTATGCCCCATTTTGGCCAGCAGGGTGCTACAGGAGGCATCCGTCCTGTCTGCCCCCCCCCCACTCCCGGCCAGCCCATGGAGGAGAACTACAATGCTGATCCAGCCCTTGAAGAAATCTAGTTTGGCACCCCTGCGTTACATGGTTGTAGACCTCTATATTTTCTTAATCATCAAATCATTCATTAAAGTTAGATGTATAAGTTGCTATGGGGAGTTGCCATGAATCGGATAATTAACATTTATTTTCAGTTACATTGGGTTCTTCATTATTGCATTCAAATAATTATGGAGGTGTTATGGAGATGTTAAGAACATGCAATAACCTTATTGCATCAAATTGCATCATGCCTTCTTAATTGAAAGACTCCCAATTTCTGGGAACACACAACTGCCAAGGGAATACTGGAAAAAGTACAACGTTTTATTTATTTATTTATTTATTTATTTATTTATTTATTTATTTGATTGATTGATTGATTGATTGATTGATTGATTTGATTTGTATGCCGCCCCTCTCCGAAGACTCAGTTTTAATAGTATAGTCTGTAAGCCACCCAGAGTTACAAAACAAATTTTACAAACAATAAATAAAAACAATTGTAATGTGGCTCCTAATATATATATTTTAATTTCAGTCCATTGGTTCTTGTTCTGTCCTTGGCTTCAGTATAAAACAGGACTCAAAGATACAAAGAAAGGCTGAGATAGAAAAGGCTGGCTTTTGGAAGAGAACCAGAATTTTCCAGGTTATCCAGCACCATATGCTTCGAATTTATCTTCCCATATTTTCAGCATCAAACAGATTTTATAAGACAACAATTGTTATTCTGCACAGCACTTATTGTTGCTATTAACGGCTTTATTGATCCCTACAGTTGTTCAGCGAACCCATGCCATATGGATCCCTCAATCACTGACTCATATTACCATCCTGATTCATGATCTAGTCTAGGGTTCAAAGACATCCACTCTAGACTTCAAAGACTACTAAATTAAGTCCTGGCTTTGCTCTTTCCTCCTAACAGTAGGAAGGAAAGAAGGAAGGAAAAAAGGAGAGAAAGAAATGGCTGCATGGTTGAGCATTTACTAGGCAAGGCTAAGGTGACCTCTAAAATGTCCCAGGAAAGGAGGAGATGATGAAAGAAGATCACTAAGAAGAAATGAATATTAAAGAAAAACTAACTGCATCCCTACTTCAGGGAGAGGCACTTTGGTAACAGCCAAGGTCCCAAAGAAAGATCTTCCAACTCCTCATCCTTGCCTTTCGTGTCACAACTATGGTGAAATTCTACAGGATGAATTTCCCAAGGAGGGAAATTCTTGTCCAGCTAGATTTCAAGAATCCATACTTTGTTCCTCCAGGCCCAAATAATAGAGAAATCTGGCCTTGCTATAATTTGTCATTTATGCTATATCCCCAGACAACTGTGTCTCTCTGATGATGGGCATCAAAAAACAAATGAGATATTGGAACTAGTTCTGAAATTAAACATGTCTATTAAAAGCACCAGTGTTATGTTGTAATAACTCTTTTTCTATCTGTCTTGCAAAGTAAAAAACACAATATCCAGCAAAGCTTGCATAGGCCCGTTATGGATTTGTTCAGGACATTGCTTTCTTTATACACATCGGTCTTGATCTCATAGTCATCGGACACTTTTTCATATTATTTCACTGATATTTTTGGGCAAGAGTCTCAACATTTTTCACTAAGTGCATGCCATCTCCACTTATTTATGCAGGACTTGGGTTGGTTATTTATGTTTAAAAAACAAATATTTTGAACATACAGGAAGTATGGGGTTAAAAAAATGCAGCAGGGAGGAATATATTTCTGTCTTGCTTTAAACAAATATATGTTACGGTAATTGGAAGAGTCTGGAATGTTACTGTGGTGCAACAGTAAATCCTATGATATTAGTTTCAATATCCTTCAAGGCCCAGTACTACAAATATCTCCACCCTTTGTAATTTGGAACACCTCATAAATAGCAGAGCCTTGGAGTGAGTGGTAAGAATTTCTTTTACACTGTTTTTTAGTCATATTAAGGACGTGTGTTTTAAGTTACTTTTATTGTTTTCATGCAGGCATGAAGGGTTTCCATTGTATGTCAAAGTCCCTTATATGCTGAGAACATAATAACAGCATTTAATATCATTCAGATGTTCTTCAATCCTAAACAGCAAAGAGGAATGTGTGTATAGCAAAGAGTGTTCACAAGATTGTTCTTTCCCTCACAGAATATTTGTTTCATTTATAAGGGCTCAGACAATGACATATGTTGTTTTACACAAAAAATACTCCTCCCTCCAAACTTTTGAGTATTAATCAGAGTTGCCAGCCTAATCAGGTTTCAGGATTCACGGTTCCTTTGAAATAGACACTCTTCAGTTCAGCTTTTGTAACCTTTTATTTAATCTATTTTGTCATCTAATTACAGATGTCCCTTGCTTTCGCTGTATGCTTCCAAAGAATGGTTGCATTGTTCTCATTTATTATTTTTTTAAAAAAACAGAAATGTTTTCTGATATGTTTATGAGATTGCATGAAGATATTGCATATTTTTACTGAATACAATACAGCTGTGATGACAAACCTATGGCACACGTGCCACAGGTGGCACGCAGAGCCATATCTGTGGGCACGCGTGCGTTGCCCTAGCTCAGCTCCAGCGCACATGCACGCACTGGCCAGCTGATTTTCGGGCCTTCCAGGCCCACTGGAAGTCGGGAAACCGACCATTTCTGGCCTCCAGAGGGTCTCCGTGGAGTGGGGAAGGCGGTTTTCGCCCTCCCCAGGCTCCAAGAAAGCCTCTGGAACCTGGGGAGGGCAAAAAAATGGGCCTACCGGGCCCACGGTGTTATCATGTGCCAAAAGCGGGGTTCGCATGGGTGGGGGGTCATGCGTGCATGCATGGGGGCAAAGGGCATTGAATTATGGGTGTGGGCACGCACGTGCGTGACCCCCCTGTACTCCCTCCACTTTTGGCACGCAATGGCAAAAAGGTTAGCCATCACTGCAATACAGTAATGCATCTTGTTATCATAGCATTTATCTTAATTTGTCTGAATGAAAATGATTTCAGGGTTATGTGGATTAAACGATTAAGTGAACAAATTAATTAAATACTCTTGTCTGACTAACAGAAAGGTATACATTGGGTGAAACAACAAGTGTGGGAACTGATTCAAGCCCTCAAGGCTGCATAGTGACATAAGGTACTCGCTTATTTTTATTTTAACATTGCTGTCAATATCAAAAACACATTGGTTTCAATTTATAATCTTAACCCTTTAAAAGCTGTCTGGCAAAAGCACAATAATGCTATAAGTTACATTGCTTTTTACAGATGCTGAATATGTTTTTGTTTCTTATGATATCTCTTTTGGTTCTGGAGTTCAATGATTCCAAACAATTGCCAAGAACAAAGAGAGAAGGGAACCCTGAAACATTCATGAATATTGTAAGTTTAACGTGGTTAATATACTTTAATACAATATTTAATACACTGAGGGTTGGAACCCCATTGTCGATTCTAATCTGGTTTCTGAATCAAGATTTTATATATACAATGGTAAAGCTGTCCCACTTATACTAGTAAGTTCATATTTGAATCAGTTATTTTAGAGTTTGTAATGGTCAAGGTTGCATTCCTTGGGTTACTCACAGGCCAATGGGCACCTCCCTCAATACCTAAATAAGGGGAGAATATACATCTTTGTCTCACTCCTTTGCCAACCTGGAGCCAATCTGTTTCACCATATTCTGTCTATATTCTTGGTCTTTATATATGGTAGGTTTCTCATGAGGTCAATGTAATGCTCTGGGAATCTCATTTTTCTAAGGACATTCTATAACTTAATGTGATAGGCACAATCAAAGGCCTTTCTAGCAGAGGTGGGTTTCAACGGGTTCTGACCAGTTCTGGAGAACCGGTAGCGGAAATTTTGAGTAGTTCAGAGAACCGGTAAATACCACTCTGACTGGCCCCGCCCCCATCTATTCTCTGCCTCCTAAGTCCCAGCTGAGCAGGAGGAAATGGGGATTTTGCAGTAACCTTCCCCTGGAGTAGGGAGGGAATGGAGATTTTACAGTATCCTTCTCCTGCCATGCTCCCCAAGCCATGCCAAGCCATGCCATGCCATGCCCACTAAGCCACACCCACAGAACCGGTAGTAAAAAAAATTGAATCCCACCACTGCTTTCTAGGATCAATAAAGTATATATTGACTTCTCCCTGGTAATCTTTGGCTTTCTCAATCATCCAGATGTATCAATATTTCATGTTCCTTGGATTTTTTAAAAAGCCAGATTAAATATTTTGCATCTCTTTTTCCATTCTTCTTTACTTCCTCTTTTACCATGTTGGGTGTCCAAGGTTCATTTTCATGCAGGGCTTTAATCTGCACCAGATGTTCCTAAGCATTATTTTGCTAGTGTGTGAAATAGGACCATAGTTTGTACATCTGTTGAGCCTCCTTTCTTTGGTGTTGGAACATATATTTACTTCTTTGTGTCCTCTGTGTCATTTTCCAGGTTGGCTGGCATACGTTAATTAGAACCTTTACTGATTGCTTATCATATTTCTTTTTTCCCTCATTTTTTATTTTATTTTATTCAAAAGAAAGTTAAAATATAAATTTTTTAAAAAAAAAACCTTCCCCAAAAAGGGCAAAACATAAAACAATCAAGACATTTTTTAAAAGTGCATCAAAATGAAAAGAAAACACACACACATGTGTATGTATGTGTGTGTGTATAAGGGAGTATATCTATATATCTATATATCTTAAAACTGTATGTGAAAAGTCCCACTGAACTTGAATCAATTCTTAACATAGTTCAACTGTTCAGCAGCGACATCAGGATGAACTTTGGACTTGAAAAATGTGCTATACTATCCATGCAGTGAGGAAAAATGGAAAAAATAGAAGGAATAGAACTGGGAAATAGAAGCATAGTGAAAGCATTAGCAAAGGATGACGGTTACAAATACCTAGGCATATTGGAAGCAGATAACTTCTTAAATGGAAAAGTCAAAGAGTCAACACAAAAGGAATACATCAGGAGAGTCTGAAAAATATTAATATCAAAACTGAATGCTAGAAACATAATTAAAGCCATTAACACATAGGCAGTTCCAGTGATATGCTACCGAGCTGGAATAATCAACTGGACTGTGACTGAACTGGAAAATCTGGACCAGAAAACATTTAAACTTTTGAATATGTACCACGCTTTACATCCATGAAGTGACATCGACAGGTTGTACCTGCCAAGAAGAATAGGGGGCAGAGGGCTATTGCAAATCCATAAAACTGTAGAAGAAGAAAAACAAAGTTTGAATGATTATGTGAACCAAAGTACAGAAAAATTGCTGAGGGCTGTGAAAATGGAGAACATTATACAAACAACAGAAACAAAGGCAGAATATAAGGAAAAACAGCTGGATGGCAGATTAAATGGATGGAAAACCAAACCTTTGCATGGACAGCACTTGAAAAACATTGAAGGAAAATGTGATAACAACTTGACATGGGCATGGCTTAAGAGAGGAACCATCAAGAAAGAAATGGAAGGTTTAATACTGGCTGCTCAAGAACAAGCACTACAAACTACCGTATTTCCCTGAAAATAAGGCCCTGTCTTATTTTTTTTTTGAACCCTGAAATAAGCGCTTGTCCTTATTGCCATGTGCCCAAAAGCCCGATTGGGCTTATTATCAGGGGATGTCTTATTTTGGGGGAAACAGAGTAATGCCATGAAAACGAAAGCATTAAGGACTTTCAGTTTGATGTTGCGGCGAGATCGGACGAGAGGAGTGGGGCTCTGTGAACTAGTGCGAAATCCTCCTCATTGGAGGGCCCCCCAAGGGGCTAAAGTCACCCTGTGGGATGATGAAGAAAGGAGGCACACACTGTAGGTCACAGAGAGTGATGGCTCCAGCTGGACCCAGGGATTCCCTCCCATCCAACGACGAAGAGGAGAGGCAGCCATTATGGCTGCCATGAAGTGGAAGTGGTGCTGGGGCGGTGTAGATGAACAATGATTAGAACTGGGTGAGAACCTAGCCCCAAAGAAAATAAATCCTGGAAAAGAGACTCTTTGAAATACTTGTTTAAGTGGCGAATAATTACAAACAGAACAATTACAGACCAGAAAGAAAATTAAAGGGAGAGCGTAAAATCTTTAAAATATAGAAAGATTGGAGTTTCAAACTTCATTGGCAATATTTTGGTAAGGCATTTTAAAATGCTGGAATTATTTGTCTGAATATTGACTATTTGCTAGATTTTGTGCAACATTGAAATTTAAGATGAAGGCACAATCTACTGGTTTTTAATGAAATATATACTAAACTCCTACAACCTTGGAAAGTACTGATAAGACAAAAGAAAAAAAAGTGGAAATAAATAATGCCTGGAGGACTGCTGTACTATCTACTGTTCTATATTCATCTACTTCATGGTTACTGGAGGTTTAACTGTGAGATTATGGAAGACATCTAAAAGAAAGCGACTTTTAAATGCCAGAATCTATGACTGAACTTATAGAGTGGACATAAGGAGACATTTGGAAATCTTCCTGGATTACCTAAATGGAACTAATTGACTAATTGTTGGACACAAAGAACTATAACTATTACATTCCCCTGAGGAGCAATGTTAGGATTGAGCAAATGGTTTCTAAGATGGCTTTCTGAGGTCATAGACAATTGAAACTTTGGGGCGGTGACAGACTACTGACAGGCTATTGAGCAATATTTGGACTTATCAAAATAAGACAAGATGTCTTATTTTGACAGGGGAGTTGAGTGGATTTCAAAAAGAAATAGTGTTGATGCTTCAAAGTACTTATAATATTTTGATAAATAATCACAGGGAGATAAAAGACTTAATGCATGATATTGTGGGGAAATCAGAAAATAATGAACAAGAGTCAATGAATAAAGATCATAAAACACAGAAAATAGAGGAGATAATAGAAAGACCAGAGGAAAAGACAGAACAGATAAATCAACAAATAAAACAAGAAGAGAAGAAGGAGAAGACAATAAAGACTTATGAAACAGATAAGGGACAATATATATTAAGAGATCAAAAATGTGATTGGATAAAAAGAAAGATAGTTTTGAAGAGAAGATAGGGGCTTGGGAAGAACCTCCAGAGGTACAGCAGCAAGAGATAGTAGAGATGGAAGAAATATTTGAGCTAAATAGGAAAGATGTAGACAAAAACAAAGATCCAAGGGAGGAGTTTGGGAGGCAAGTCAAAATGAATAAGAATTAAAATACTAAAGTGGGCAAGAGATGATGGTAAGAAAAGGAATGCTGTTTAATATAAGATTGGCTTTATTGAGAGCTAGAATAGAGGCAGAAATAAGATCAAGGGGGAATATTATTATACATATTTTTATATCATATACTAAAAGTAATAGCTAGATATAAAGATTAGATGTTGAAAGATGGTATCACTATGTATGTTTAAATAATATTGTGATTGTTATTAGAATGGTGCACAAAAACATTGAACAACTAAACAATGAAGGAACACACTAATACAAATATGTATAATAACACAATTACATAAGTATGATTAATGTAACAAATATTATTAATATTACTATTATTTGTATTTAAATGAATGATAACTAGATCCCTCACTGTTCAATGATATTAATGTATAGCCAAAAAAATAAAGAATAAGCACTACAAACTAATGCCATGAAAATGAAGATACAAAAATCCATTAAAAATTCAAACTGCTGACTTTGCAATGACACTTAATATGTGAGTGCAGCAAAATTGCGCAAACTGATTACAAAGCTAGAAATTACCGAATTGCTAAATTAATCCACTGGTCATTATGTAAGAAATACGCCCTACCTGTATCTGAAAAGTCATGGGAACATAAGGTGGAAAAAGTCATAAAAAATGAGATGGTGAAGATCTTGTGGGACTTTCGAATACAGACAGATTGTCATTTGGAACACAACACGCCAGATATTATGGATGTCAAGGGCTGAAGCATACAATTTATTGATATCGCTGTACCAGGAGATGCCAGACTCAAAGAAAAAGAACTGGAAAAAATTATGAAATATCGCAACCTGGCCATCGAAACTACACTGCGCTACTCGGAACATCGTATATTTTAAGAAGATACTTGGTTGATACCTAGGACTCTGGTAGCAATCCGTATCAACCATTAGCACCAGTCTATGATATTTATGATACATTTTAAAATGTTCAGTTGACTGAGTTTCATGTTTAATGAATAAAAGAGATAATAATGACAAGATTAAGGTCTCAAAACTCTCTGTTAAGAAAATGCTATTGTAATCCACTCATAGAAAGTTTAGCACAGCATCTTATCTATCCCAATCATCCCAAAAATTAAAAGTAATTCATCCTGGATCACACATCCGTATTTGTTTCTTAGTGCTATTTTTTACCAATTGTTGACTAATTAAATATAATAAATTCAGTCTTCACTATCTTCCCAACCAAATCCAAATAGAAGTGGTTTCCAGTTAGGTGTAATAAATCCATTCTCCAATCTTCCTCAGTCTTTATAGGAAAAAGGGGAAAAAATATATAAAGGAAAAAAAAGAGTCCAGCAAGGAGTTGAAATAAATCAGCATGACTGCTGGTCAACTTTTAAGAGCAAAAAACAAAGTAAAACAATAAATTTGAAAAGTTAAAGTTAAACCCAGGCCTTTTTCTTTGACCTATTTTTAATTTATTACTATTTGTCCATTGGTATCATTTAACATTCCTATTTGGGGTTGGAATATTGTTTTGAGTTCGGAGATTCTCTCTATGTATACCTGACATCGATCTTACAGTGGTGCAATGATTGATTGCACTATTGTAGATGTTATCTTGACTTCTCTGACAATACTCTGCAGAAACCTCCTCCACCCCAGGAGTCCCAATTTGTTAATACATTATCAAGTGGCAAGTTGGTGCTCTTATTATGGTGGACTCTTCTAATCACTGGATTTGGATTGAAACTAGAATCAAAGAAGTTTATAAATCAATCCCAAAGATGCTTTTTTATTACCGGTTCTCTGAACTACTCAAAATTTCCGCTACCAATTCTCCAGAACTGGACAGAATCTGCTGAAACCCACCTCTGACACATACACACACAGAGGAGGGAGGGAGAGAAAGAGAGAGAAAGAGAGAGAATTGTTGTAATCAGTCTTGTTTACCTTTTAACCTTGTTTACCTTTTAATTATCCTTACAAATTATAGTCTTAGCTAGTGTAGAAATATAAACCTCAGGTGAGTAAAATTATCATCCTTAATCATAAGGTTTAGTGCCAGTTAGATTTGCCTATGAAATTGATAGGAACGTTTAACCTGTCCTTCAACTAATGAGAATATTAATAACAGCAATGGCTCTACGTATTATAAGAAGCCAGTTCCACAAATGAAAGAGTGAATTTTTTGTGATAACCTCTTCAGCATTTGGAAGAACAATTTTGAGATATATGTGCCAGTCTAACAGGAGACCAAAAGCAATGAATCTTCCACTTCAATTCTTGCATTGAAGCTGAAGTAAATCCACCTGTTTTATTCAACTCTCATCCAGACCCAAAGAAGCTTCTTGGATGAGAAGCGAAACATCTTCAAGGAAAAACCAGAAAGTCCAGCTGCCTCTTGAAAAAGCATCTTTGGGATTCTTGATTTTTGCTTGATGTCTTCATGACCTGGATGACTGAGAATCTCGATAGACATTTAGCGATTTATAAATCAGTGTTGTTGTTTTTTCCCTGAAACATTTTTCTGGAATAAAACAGATTGAAAATGTTTTCACTAAAACATTTATTCTTAATGCTCAATATTCTCCAAATTTGGAAGAATAAATACACAGTTTTGATATATGATATTTCTCTTTTTACTCCTTTGATAGCCTATTTTGATCTTCATTCTGATTTGGCTAAAAGGAAGTCTTTGACAGAATATAATCTTTATAGCCTAAAAGAGTTTTACTGTAATGGTGCATTTTCAAATAAAGATAAGCAATGAATAGGCGATAAGATATCATGACTATTTTGATGTCAACTCAAATCTCCTTGGAACTTCAGCAATAAGGCTTTATATTAATTCTGAGAATTTAATACTTAATTCTTTAGATCAACCAAAAGGGACAACCTCAAAAATGTGTAAGTTATTATTGCAATCAGAAATAAAGATCTACCATATGGATTAAAGGAAGCTAAAGATACTGATATGGGTAATCTTATACAGGAAACAAACTGGCAGCTGCTATGGAAACCAGGTGGATTTACTTCAGCTTCAGTGCAAGAATTGAAGTGGAAGATTCATTGCTTTTGGTCTCCTGTTAGACTGGCACATATATCTCAAAATTGTTCTTCCAAATGCTGGAGAGGTTACCACAAAAAAGTCACTCTTTCATTTGTGGAACTGGCTTCTTATAATATGTAGAGACATTGCTGTTATTAATATTCTCATTCGTTGAAGGACAGGTTAAACGTTCCTATCAATTTCACAGGCAAATCTAGCTGTTGCTAAACCTTATGATTAAGGATGATAATTTTACTTGCCTGAGGTTTATATTTCTACACTAGCTAAGTCTATAATTTGTAAGGGTAATTAAAAGGTAAACAAGGTTAAAAGGTAAACAAGACTGATTACAACAGTTCTCTCTCTTTCTCTCCTTCCCTCCCTCTGTGTGTGTATGTGTCAGAGGTGAGTTTCAGCAGGTTCTGACCAGTTCTGGAGAACCGGTAGCGGAAATTTTGAGTAGTTCAGAGAACCGGTAATAAAAATTCTGACTGGCCCCGCCCCTATTTATTCTCTACCTCCCAAGTCCCAGCTGATCAGGAGGAAATGAGGATTTTGCAGCATCCTTCCCCTGGAGTGGGGAGGGAATGGGGATTTTGCAGTATCCTTCCCCTCCCACGCCCACCAAGCCATGCCATGCCCACCAAGCCATACCCACAGAACCGGTAGTAAAAAAATTTGAAACCCACCACTGGTATGTGTGTGTGTAACTGTTGGGGAAACTATAGGATTTCCTCCTTTATTAAGAATGTAATATTGCCTTAAGAAACATCTCTGCAAAGGCAAATATCAAACATGCTAGAGATCTAAGGCAAAGTTATGAATGGAGCTTCTTTTTTATATCTTTTTCCAGAGTGAGGTCTTACAATATCATGGTTATCCTAATGAGGAACATGAAATCCTGACAAATGATGGTTACTTTCTTACTATCAACAGAATTCTTGGAAGGAAAGCGTCAGAGAAAACAGGTTTCTTTTTGCATTTAAAGTTCACAAAACCAAAGTTTATTAATACTGATTTGCTCTTATGAAATATCCTATTTATATTCTTATCTTCTGTAGAAATACTGCAGTGAGAAAACTCTTTCATTTAAAGAGGGAGATCATTAGGAATAATTTATTTGTTCTGGGAAAGGGAAGACGCCCTGAAAACAAATGAACAAAAAACAAAACACTCGTAGCTCCAAGTTCATTTCATTTTCCATGATATTGTGATATTATTTAATAGGAATGTTTTGGGATTTCCCCCCGTCTAGATATTAGTCAAAGACTCTCAAGATTGTCTTGATGACTAAACTACATGCTAATCATTTCATTTAAATGAACATAGGGAAAGAAGAAAGAATATAACCTCATTTTTATAGTTATATAGTATTGTGATGCCACCCAGACTTAATTTTATGTGAGATAGGAAGTTATACAAATATAATGAATAAACAAACAAACAAACAAATAAATAAAATATTAAGCCAAAGCAAATGTTTTATTGTTCCTTTGCCTTTTAATGTTATTATGGTTTGCATATTTATAGCTCAGTTGTAATCAGGCCAGATTCTTAATTTTATTAATTAAATTAAATAATTAAATTAAATTAAATTAAATTAAATTAAATTAAATTAAATTAAATTAAATTAAATTAAATTAAGAATCTGGCCTGATTATAAAAGCCCAACTATGAGTTTTTTCCTCCATAGGCAATTTGAAGTAATTACTTTTTTTTCCTCATTGAAATGTCTTGCTTTCTTGTCCATCTTTTTCTCCCTTTCCTTTCCTTTCTTTGTTTTGTTTTCAGCTTCCAAACCTGTTGTTTTACTGATGCCAGGAGTTCTTACTGATTGTGGAATATGGCTGACGAATGTGCCCAATGGCAGCTTAGGTTTTATACTGGCAGATGCTGGCTTTGATGTTTGGTTGGCAAATAACCGAGGAAGCAGATGGTGTAAACAGCACCAGAACTTCTCATATAAAGAAGAAGAATTCTGGAATTTCAGGTACGTTAAAATATTTGGTGCTTGGGAGGGATAATAAAATGCAAATTTCTATGTGAAAGAAATACAAAAGATGGATCATGCCATGTTGATGACTTGAAAGGAAAATGTCAGAGTGCACACAGTGTGACTATGTGAGACAACCCAGGAGCAAATACAACAATCCATATTCATCAGCGGTCAAGGGCATCCACAGGAGAGAGAGAAAAAAAAAATCAAGATGGTAGCTATGATTGTGCAACCAAAGTCCTATCTTCTTTTTAACACGTCACAATGCACACAAAAAGAGGACAGGGCTTTGATTGTTATGGACACCAGTCATGGTCACTATCCTGATTTTCTTGAAAATCAACCCCCCTCCCCCAGTAGAAATTCTTTCCCCAACTGGATATGTGATTGTTTTCTTTTACATTTCTATTAGATTATGATTTTCAAAATCTTCCCATCCTAAAGTTCTATGACAAACAAGCAATTATACACACAATTAATGTAAATATAACCAGGAAAGAGAGATAGTTTGAGTAGCTTAGATTGCTACTCAATAGCATATTGCTATGGTGATAAAAGTTTCATTATCCAGTTCTTTGTTTTGTATTATAATAGATTTAGTCAGCCATATAATTCTTTTACATTTTTTATTTGTTTTTTTTTTTAATTTGATTTATATGCCGCCCTTCTCCGGAGACTCAGGGCGGCTTACAGTGTGTTAAGCAATAGCCTTCATACTTTTGTATATTTTATACAAAGTCAGCTTTGTACAAACTGGGTCCTCAATTTACCTACCTTAGAAAGGATGGAAGGCTGAGTCAACCTTGAGCCTGGCGAGATTCAAACTTACTTTAATTGCAGACAGCTGGTGTTAAATTACAGTGCTTAGTCTGCAGCGCTATCCAGGCTCTATAGTTTTATAGTTTTTTATGTATACCTTTTATGTTTTTTTTTAAAATAACTTTATATATTTTATGTTTCTTAGATTTTAAAATTATCAATTGTTTGTATGTCATCCTTCTTATATTTGGCTAGGATTGTAACAAAGATTTGATTGATTGATTGATTGATTGACTCTATTTTGTTTCAGTTTTCATGAAATGGCAATGGAAGATCTGCCAGCGATTATATATTTTATCCTAGCTAAAACTAGACAGAAACAACTTTTTTATGTTGGCTATTCCCAAGGATCCACTTTAGGTAAATTCTTGGATTTTTGCAGGGGTGAAAAGGGAAGCAAGGGGGGGTGGAAAGGCAAGTGACATGATAAGCATCTTAATGTCATCAGGCAAATGATGCAATGAAATCATGATGCAGGTGACAACACTGTGGCTTGGTACCAGGACATATTATCTGATCTTATTGAACTGTAGTAATTGGTGCAATTACTACAGTTCAATGCAAACTGGCCAAAGCTATAGACTTCTAAGCATTAATTCTTACAGCATATCTTTAATTATACTCTTCCTTTTTTATTTTCTTTTTGTTTAGATTTGTAGGAGAATGATTTGTTTAATCATACCATGAAGAAAGAATTGTACAATTTGTTGGGGACAAAATAATGGAAAGTGTGAATGACGTGAAATCAGTGCATAAGATGTAAACATATGTAATCTTTATTGACCCATATCCTTAGATAAATTGTGTGATGTGACATTCCAAATGGAATGGGATTGCTATCACTAAATCAGAACAAAAACAAAAGAGCTCCCCTTTACTTTGCATTTCAACAAAATAGCCTTTAATTCAACCCTTGACATATCTATAGAATCCTCCCTATTCAAGGAAATCTCCTACGACTGGGTAAAATTCCTATGTGTAATGTGGATAATAAGCCATTATTACTGAATCGATGAATAGGAGGGTTACGAGTGGCATGGTGGCCTAGAGGTGGAGCTCTTGCCTCACAATCAGGAGGCTGTGAGTTTGATATTAGGTAGCGGCAGATATTTCTAAAGAGAAAATATCTGCTCTGAGCTCCACATAGGCATCAGGAAGGGCATCCAGCCAGTAAATGCTCAGCTCCATTCAGTTGCCCTGACTCCATCCTGATGCAAGGGATTGCAGGATTGTTAAAAGAAAAACAAAATGAATAGGAGGGTTACATGTGAAAAGGGAGGAAAATTAATTGTCTAAGTACAACATGTAAGAATAGAATAAATTACTTTTAAAAACAACTATTAATAAAATATGATGGATATAAAAAGCCTCGTCCAAAAGAACATAATAAGAAAACAAACAATATGTAATGTTTTGCCTCTCCAATCTTTCCCAAGAAAGCAGGAATCTTGAAACTGCAGTGGTTCCAAAAGGAGCTTTTATTGGAAGGTTAGTGATAACAAGAGATCTAGACAGGAACTGAAGCTTTTCATTTAAAACCAGCTATTTAAAACAATGCTACCCAAACCCCTCCCACACTACATCATTGCAGGGAAACAGAAACAAAGACTTCATATAGAGATTAACACAGTAATGCAGGAAACAGAAGCAGAAACTTCATATACAGACCACTCCAATCCTCCCCATCCTTCCTCCCACCAAAATGCTATAGAAATATCTGGGACCTGACACAATATTTAACTAAGGATGTCTGAGGGTGGTAAATTGACAGGAAATCAATCAGTGAAAATACATTTGAATTCTTTTGAAAAATAGTTGTAGAAGTTCCTTCAGGATAATTTTCAATTCAGAAATTTATCTTCATCAGATTGTGTGGATATACTATTCACTTATTGCTCTAGCAAATATAGTGTAATTATCATAAACAGATTGTGACTTGTAATGGTTCTGAATAATAATTAATTTTCTTTATGCTTAGGATTCATTGCATTTTCAGCTATGCCAGCATTAGCTGAGAAAATAAAAATCTTTTTTGCATTTGGTCCAATATATTTGGTGAATCACATCACACCATGGTATAAAATGATAATCGATATGAACCCAGTTATTATGAAGGTATGTGGCTGATGCTGTGGTTTTCAAAAAAATGAATGTATGCTAATTTTATTGCTAAGATATTTAAAAGGCAAGAACAATGTCATGTCAAATGGAATTGCCTTCAATAGGAGTTAGTCATGCTTAGATTTGTACGGAATTATTCTTAACAGGTTTACAATACTGAAAAAATTTAAAATATTCTGGGAACTCTGCCAAGGGAAGCTAAGCTAGATACCTTTTTGTTATTCTTTTCTTGGCAGCAGACAAAATTTTAGTTTGGAAGGCCTTTGTACTATGATGATGATGATTTACTTTATTCATTAAACATGAAACTCAGTCAACTGAACATTCAAAAATGCATCAGAAATACCATTGACTGATGCTAATGGTTGATACGGGTTGCTGCCAGCATCCTAGGTATCAACCAAGTATCTTCTTAAGATGTACGATTTCCAGGTAGTGCAGTTTTTTTGCAGTTCTGCTGGTGTTAGCTGCAATTTCTTGATGCCTTTTTATAAAATTCTTGGACATGGTACCAAGTGCCCCGATGACAATGGGTATAAACTGTTACATGTTTCATCCATAATCGCGTAGTTTCGATAGCCAGGTCGCGATATTTCATGATTTTTTCCAGTTCTTTTTCTTCGACTCTGGCGTCTCCTGATACCACGATATCAATAAATTGTACATTTCAATTTTCGACAACTGTGATACCTGGCATGTTGTGTTTCCAATGACAATCCGTTTGTATTCGAAAGTCCCACAAGAGCTTCACCTTCTCATTTTCAATAACTTTTTCCACTTTATGTTCCCATGACTTTTTGGATACAGGTAAATTGTATTTTTTACATAATGACCAGTGGATTAATTTAGCAACTTAGTTGTGTCTAGCTTTATAATCAGTTTGTGCAATTTTTCTGCACTCATATATTAAGTGTGAAATAGTTTCAACTTTGTCATTGCAAAGTTGGCAGTTTGGATTGTCAGTGGATTTTTGTATCTTTGCTTTCATAGCATTAGTTTGTAGTACTTGTTCTTGAGCAGCCAGTATTAAACCTTCCGTTTCTTTCTTGATGGTTCCCATCTTAAGCCATGCCCATGTCAAGTTGTCATCACATTTTCCTTCAATATTTTTCAAGTGCTGTCCAGGCAAAGCTTTGGTTTTCCATCTGTTTAATCTGTCATCCAGCTGTCTTTCCTTATATTCTGCCTCTATTTCTCTTGTTTTTATAGTGTTCTCTGTTTTCACAGCCTGCAGCAATTTTTCTGTACTTTGGTTCACATAATTATTCAAACTTAATTTTTGTTCTTCTACAGTTTGATGGATTTGCAATAGCCCTCTGCCCCTTATTTTTCTTGGCATTATTATTATCGTTGATGTTGATGTTATCTCTTTTATTCATTAAACTTGAAACTCAGTCAACTGAACATTTAAAAATGTATCACAAATATCATTGATTGGTGCTGATAGTTGATACAGCTTGCTGCCAGCATCCTGGGTATCAACCAAGTACCTTCTTAAAATGTACGATGTTCCGAGTAGTGCAGTTTTTTGCAGTTCCGCTGGTGTTATTGCAGGAAGCTGCAATTTCTTGATGCCCAGTTTGGGAACAAAAAGGATTCAACAGATATACTGATTGCCAGTTTTCATGCTCACTTTTGCCCTTCCTGCTCAAAGGATGTGATGTGAGGCAGTAAAGATAATGCTGGGAAAAAAAACCCTGCTACACAATTTCAGAAGCAAGTTCAGGGAGGGGTGTGTGGAATGAATAGAGTGTAGGAGGAGATCATGACACAACACCACTTGTCTACTTGGAACAGGCATCAGGTTACAAATACACAACAGCAGTAACTGCAAGAAGGCTCTGGGAATCTTAGTGGACAATAACTTAAATATGAGCCATCAGTGTGCTGCAGCTGCCAAAAAACCCAATGCAATCCTAGGACAGAAGGATATAAAAGTTCACAAGAAGTGATACTACTGCCTTATAATGCCTTGGTAGGACCACACTTAGAATACCACATCCAATTTTGGTCACCACAATATAAAAAAGTTGAGACTCTGGAAAGAGTGCAGAGAATAGTGACAAAAATGATTGGGAGGCTGAAGACTATAACATATGAAGAACAGTTGCAGAAATTGGGTATGCTAGTCTAGTGAAGCTAGGGGTGACATGATATCAGTGTTCCAATATTTGAATGGCTGTCACAAAGAAGAGAGGGTCAACCTATTTTCCGAAGCACCGGAAGGAGCACAAGAAGCAATGGATGGAAAGTGAACAAAGAGAGAAAGAACTAAAAACTAAGAAGAAATTTAACAGTAAGAACAATTAACCAGTGGAACAGCTTGCCTTCAGAAATTGTGGGTGCTTCAACACTGGAGGCTTTTAAAAAAAGACTGGACAGCCATTTGTCTAAAATGGTATAGGTAACCTGCTTGAGCAGGAACTTGGACTAAAAGACTTCCAAGGTCCCTTCTAACTCTGTTATTCTGAAACTGCAGGATGATATTGCCATCCATGGATTGCTGTACTGTCTTCAGTATAGGTTGGTGAGATGCTACCAGGGGTGAAATGCTCCCAGTTCGGACCGGATCGCCCAGTCCGGTAGTGATGGAGGCAGGTGGTTCGGAGAACTGGTAGCAAAAATCCCTGCCCCCCCCCCCCCGCCCAGCTGAGCCGCATAATCATCAGTGGCTTTTTTTTTACTTTTAACAGCATTTTTTCTACAACCTCTTCAGCTGAAAAAATGCTTTTAAAAATAATAATAAAAAGCCTCTGATGATCATGTGGCTCAGCTGGGATCCTCAAAGGCTTTTAAAAGAAAAAAAACCCTTTTTTTCTTTTAAATGCCTCTTACGATCCAAGCTGAGTTGCCTGATCGGCAGAGACTATTTTTCTTTTAAATGCCTCTAACGATCAGGCAACTCAGCTTGGATCATCAGAGGCATTTAAAAGAAAAAAACTCTTTTTTTTCTTTTAAATGCCTCTGATGATCCAAGCTGAGTTGCCTGATTGTCAGAGGCATTTAAAAGAAAAAAAGTCTCTGCCGATCAGGCAACCTCAGCTGGGATCGTCAGAGCCTTTTGAAAGCATTTTTTTACAACCTCTTTGCTGAAGAGGTTGTAGAAAAAATGGTTTTAAAAGTAAAAAAAAATGGCCAAGCCCACCCAGTCACATTACCCCTCCCACCAAGCCACACCTACAGAACCAGTATTAACAAATTTTAGATTTCACCACTGGATGCTACTGATTTTTTAGTCTCATTCACAGAGCATAAGGCAGAAGAAGCATTTTAGTAATTTTCTGCGGAAGGCAGATAGGGGAGGAGGAAATAGTTGTGGTTTGTGAATAGTTGGGATCTGTATGAATGCAGCATCTCAACAGACTATATGACAGTTTTGCTTTTTCCTTTTGATGAACAAATTGTCCCAAAGTCTTTTGCGAGTATGTACAATGTATGAATCAGTCTTCTGCAGAGGAAACGGATGAGCTGCTAGACCATTTGAACTTTGAAGGACATAATTTTAAAAGAGCATTTTGAAAGCAAACTTGGAATATGCAAATTTGAAAGGACAGAGCAAGTTCAAAGGCATTGAAAATTGATCTGAATTGTTTTATTCACAGACTACATTAGGCAGAAAAGAAATTTGCTTGCTACCTAATCACATAACACGGAAATTGGCCACTAAGTTTTGTGACATGGATTTATGGAGAAAAACGTGTGCGAATATTTTATTGTCCGGTGGTGGAATTAGTGAAAACAATGTAAATATGGTATGTTTATTGCACATCTTTTTAAACAAGCTACTTTATTTCAGACAGTGACATAAATGTACCAATTAAATGAAAATGTGTTTTTTAAAAATATTCTTCCTCAGAGTCGCCTGGATGTCATTGTATCACATTTATTTGGATGCACATCAACAAAAACTCTCTTACATTGGAAGCAGGTAAAAATTCTGAAATGTGCAACTAAAAATGTGAATTTTACTTACTGTACTTGGAATAGCAAATGCCCTCTTTGATCTCTGTTTTCATAATAAATGCTTCTTTCTCAAATAAAATTAAAGTATCAATTTTCCATTCATTAAAAAAATGAATTCTTCTTTGTTCTCTCCATTAGCTTTTCTGAATATTAATTTATACCATTACTTATAGAACCTACGCCAGGGCTGTCAAACTCGCGGCCCACAGGCCGGATGCATCATGCGCTGGCCATGCCCACACCTGTTTTAGCGAAGGGGAAAAAAGTCACAATACGTCACATGATGACGCCGTGACAATGCAAGTTTGACACCCCTGGCCTACACCCAAAAGGACGAGGGCAGTTTGTAGGACAAACAACCATTAAAAACTATCAGCTAATCTAATCTATCACTGGGACTGTCCAAGAATCTGCAAGCATTTAAATGCTCCTTGTTTCATGGTGTTCTAAGGGCAGGGCACCGATTGAGAAAACATGTGGGCAAATATCCACTGTCCTCCACTGAGTAGGAACACTGCTTCTCCCAAGGATCATGTGAATTTGGAGTTGGCAAATCAGCTGGCAAAGAAGCACCACAACCCAGGTGTCATTACTCTGTTAATTGTATTTACTCTAGTCATTAAACAAGCTGCTATATTTGGAATCAGTTGAAATTTTTCAGTCCTCTTCAAAGGCAAAGTATTTTCCATAGTCTGTTTGTCAGGTACAAACGTCATGCCCCCAAATCAGGAAAGACAAATCTTGGTTCTTCCAAGCAGACTTCTTTATTATTCTACTCTTATGGACAGAATCTTGCCAAATTGAAGCACCCTACTTACCTTCCCTACTGGCTCGCTGATGTGCGTGCACCGCGCCATCATCTGTGCATGCGCAAAGTCTTCTGTGCATGCGCAGATGGTCAAAACCGGGACGTGTTTGGTGGGACAGAGCCTCCCGCCAGCAGTACCAGTTCTCAGAACTACTTGCTGCTGGCGCTACCGGCTTCCGCTAGCTGGATAGAGCTGGCAACATTTCATCCCTGGTCTGCATCTAGCATATCATCTGAGAACTATTAGGGAGAAATTTCTTCATCCTTCTTCTTTCTCAGAAAATATCTGGACTGAGTTCCTCTTATTCTTCTGAAATGCATTCCCTCCCTCCTCGTAATCCACCTTACTATATTCCATCACATCAAGGGAGTAAATTATTCATACCAATATATCTCAGTTCTTCAATTGGCATACTAGACAAGCTGGGCAACAGACAACTGGTAGTTGCTCCACATATTATTTATGATAGAATGTTGTTCAGATTCCCAGAAAGGAGGGAGTGCATTCCAGATGAGCAAAAGACTGAACAGTTTGTGTGGGAGGAAGACAATCATTTACTGCTAACAAAGCTAAAATTGGCTGCATTGTGACAAGTTTTTAAAAATTACGCCCTTGAAAAATTAGTCATTAGTAGTGTTGGCTTTTTAATTAGGGAACTTAAAATTCTAATCTCTCCAAAACACCAGGTTAGAAAAGTTATTTTGGTCCAGAATTACTTTTTTTTCTTCTGTTCTGTGTATCGTTGTATCTTAACGTATTCTAAAAGATTATATAATAGATTATTTTAATGGGAAGCTTTAGAAAATTACATTAACATTTTTTTAAAATGTAAAAGAATAATTTACAAAAGTGGTTTTACAGACTTTTCTCTTGTCCTTTTCAGGTGTATGAAACCGGGCAGTTTAAAGAGTTTGACTATGGTTCTAAGAATATGAAAAAATACAATCAGGTAGACAAAGATTTTTTTTTCAAATAAAAGAAATATTCCAGATGAATGAGAATGAAGATAAAGCAGTTACAAATTTACTATTTTTGTAATTTTTTTTTACATAATACCATTATATTTAACATGTCATCCTGGATTCATCTATTTTGATTAAAGGAAAGGCAGGAGTGTCCATTTTTGTATCAATGGAATGCTATGCTATCAAGCATGTAATGTCTACCCAGACATAACTGCCAGGAAACTCAGAAAAGAATATATAACTCTGTAGTTGAAGATCCACAATAATATAACCCACAAAGAAGAGGGAGTCAACCTATTCTCCAAAGTACATGAGAGCAGGACAAGAAGCAATGGGTGGAAATTAATCAAGGAGAGAAGCAACCTAGAATTTAGAAGGAATTTCCTGACAGTTAGAACAATTAATCAGTGGAACAACTTGCCTCCAGAAGCTGTGAATGCTCCAACACTGGAAATTTTTAAGAAGAAATTGGATAACCATTTGTCTGAAATGATATAGGCTTTTCTGCTTAAGCAGGGGGTTGGACTAGAAGATCTCCAAGGTCCCTTCCAACTCTGCTATTCTATTCTAGTTGTTTTTGCACATTTGATGAGACCAGCGATAGTACTTCTAGCACACAAAATATTTAGACTCTCTTAAACTACATGGAAAAATTCTTTTAGGAGCAATTAACATGAATTGAATTAAGACAATTAGAGATAATGAATAAAACGCATTGTGCTAATAATTTAAACAGGTATTTTTTTCAGATTTTTATGCGGTCGTGGTTGAATAGGGAGGAGGTAGAAGGGCATGTAGGTAGATTACTGAAAAATAGAAGATCTGTTATGATATGGAATAGCAATGGCCACATAGCATGAGATGGACAACAAAAGTGCCTTATATTAACAACCATTCTAAAAGATAAATCAGTGTGCTTAGAGCTATCCTTGACCCTTGGAAATAGCAAAGCTAAATGATTCAAACCACGAGCTATTTTAGGACAATATTATAATAGTAGCAATATTTAGTTGTTATGAGATTTAATAAAGTGTTTTTCTTTTTCTCTTTAGATGACCCCTCCCTTTTATGATATAAGAATGAATATCCCAACCTTCATGTGGAGGGGTGAAAAAGATAAAATTTCAACACCAAAGGATACCGAACAATTTCTCCCTCTTCTTAGTAATCTGATCTCCTACAAAATAATTCCTCGTTGGATGCATTACGATTATCTTTTTGGCCTTGATGCACGTCAAAACTTGTATGATGAACTTGTTGACATAATTCACAATTTCCCATAAGCTGGGGATCGTCTAGTACAGAGATGTTAACCTTTTCCGGACCGAGTGCCCAAAGTGCGTGTGTGTGTTTGTGAATGCGCATGCGCGCACCTGAACCCCCAAAATACAATATGTGTGTGGCCCCCGCATGTACCCCACCCCCCCATGTGCGTGTGCCCCCCATGTGCCCCCCCCCACATATGCGCAGCAGAGACTTGAAGACCAGCTGGCCAGCGGGAGGTGCATGCACATGCATGGTAGAGCTGAACTGGGGAGACAGTTCACGTGCCCAGAGAGAGGGCACTGTGTGCCACCTCTGGCTCGCGTGTCATACGTTTGCCATCATGCGTCTAGTACATCAGTGTGACAAACATGCCACTCCAGAATGTTTCTTTAACAGAAGAAATGCATGTTTCACTAAAGCAGAAGGGTCTAATTCTTTTACTTGATGATCTTTTTTTTAAAAAGGATACTGTCATCGTTCCAAGTAATGAACTCAGAGAAGTCAGGACTCTGACACTTTGCTCAGGTTCAAGAGATTCTTTATTGAGTACATCATTTTGGCACTTGGAAAGGTGAAGCTAGCTCTAATTATTCCCACGCTCAGAGATAGTTAAACGAATAAGATCTCCCCACCCCACCCCTTTGTCCCTCAGGTCAAATGGGCCAATCAGTCCAGGTGTAGGTTCCCACTCAACTTCGACAACTGTCCTTTGAAATGACCTTGGTTCACACACCAGCTGGGAGATGTTATGGCTAGCTGGCTGAGGCAACACATTCCTGAGTTCTCCCCCCGTGCTCTGCCCTCTTCCCCTTGAATGGCAGGCAAGAAATGAAGCAGAAGTAAGCATGGCTTCAGCTGAAGTAGTTCTGTTTATACCTTTTAAAATACAGTGTTTCCCTGAAAATAAGCCCTCCCCAAAATATTTAACCGCATGTGCAGCTTGTCCCCGCCATTTCCTCTGGTTAGGGTTAGGGAGACAGAGCTGGAAATCAGATAAGAGGGCAAGAGGATCCCCGTTTCGTTCCACGTGCCCCAAAATAATAAGACCTCACCAAAAATAAGGCCAAACACTTATTTCAGGGTTCAAAAAATATAAGACAGGGTCTTATTTTCAGGGAAACATGGTAGTTAATGTAGATGCCTTGAAAGAATGCAACCCCGGGGATTCCAAACTTTGGGAAGAATCACACAGTAAAGTCTTGAGTAAGAAAGGTAAAGTGTTGAGTAAACTCACACAATAAAGTGTTGAGTAATAAGAGAACTGTCACAAGTAAATGCCTTATTCTCCATTATGTAAATAGTACATGAACAGGGTATCAGGGGTTAACTTATTCTTCACCTCTTAATGTATTCATATTTCACCACTCCCATATCTAGCTCCACCCATTGTATATATAAGGAGCCACATACGTCCATTTTGTGCTTCTATCTGTGAATATTCAGTGAATATAGAATGCCTTATGTAAATAAATAGTGATTTATTTGAATTTATAATTCTCAACTTATTTATTGAGTCTGATCCTGAAAATATCGTAACAATCTGGTAGCAGAGGATGGTTGAATTGACTCAATAAAAACTTAAACATGTCTAAAAGAGATAGGCCCAACACCAGGGCATACAGCAAAGAAATGGAAGCGGATCAAGAAATAATCGATGAGTCCACGAATGCAATTTCGAGAGAATCTGAAGAATACACCACAGACGACGAAGAAATAATAAATGAAGATGATGACCAAGAAGAAAACGAAATAGAAAACAACGAACTCAGGTCAGAGATACTGAAACTTTTAAAAAGCCAAAAGAGCGATGAAAGTCTCGTCGCGAATCTCCAAGATATACTAAAAAACAACGGAGCAGCGAAAGAGAAGCACATCGCTACTGAAAAATCAAAAGACTCAAAAATAGTGAGTAATATGATTGCAGATGAAAACGCAACGAAGAAGAAAACCAACAATCCCGCGCAAAATTTCGAATGGCAGCCATCTTGGTTTCAACAGACCCTAAGATGAGCGAAGCAGAGCCAATCAGAAAGCAGGATTCAAAATATCTGGCGCGAAAAGCCTTACCCGATGCAAAAATGAAAGAGAAAAAAATATATACCTCAGAAGAATCAGACACAGAGAACGAAGAAGATTCAATAGACATGCAAGTAAAATCAGCAATGAAAACGCTTTTTGCAGCATTTGGACCGAAACTGAAGATCACTAAAAGATCAACAAAAAAACAAGCAAGCGAGCCAACGCCTCAAAATCTACCCGCTCCTATCCAGACGGCGAGAGCACCGACTCCTGAGCCCAGAGAGCCCTGCTGATACCGCCCCACGCCGCAGACTAATCCAAGGACCAGCACCTTCAGCGAAAGAAAACGAGCGCCCGCTATCACCAGGACTCCAAAGATCGAGCCGGAGACTGATTCATCGGGAGAAGAACAGAGTGAGAGAGCTGCAGCAGCGAGAACCTCTCACGATGACTCCAGAAACGAAATGAGCAACGCGCATGCGCAAGACTACGCAGACAACTTCGGGAGACATGAGATGCGGAGAGAATCATGCAAACTCGTTGCAAGCATCCCCACGCCGTTTTGCAACTTTCGTCATTTGCAAGACCACGGACTACCTCCGGTTGTAAGTAATGGACCCAACAATGTTGGGAATTTACCCAATGACTTTCCAAAGCTGAGAATAGATGGCATTAATTTGCAAGAATGGTAGCAGCTCCAGGTTGTCTTTATGAAAGAAAATTTACTCTTCTTTATTACTAACCCCCCAAAAAGACCTTGGACTCTAAAGTTAGATTGCCTACACCATAGAGCATTCTTCTTATTGATTTCCAGTGTATCTCCTGCCATGTATCACAGTATTAAGCAAAATCTGACTGTCTCAGAAATTATTCAATGCATGTTTAATTTATTTCACAGTGAAAGTGTAGCCACTACCACAAGAATGTCTAAAGATTTCTTCTCTTCTAGGATAAAGCCAGGGGTTTCCATAAGTGAACATTTAATATCTTTAAACAAAATTAGAGCAGAACTGCACTTAAGGGGGAAGTAATTTCAGATCAAACGATGAAAAGTGTTATCATCAACTCACTTGACCCATCATGGATAATTATATGTCACATTTAGACACAATCAATCTAGGATACTTATCCATAGAAAGTCTATCTAACAAGTTAATAGCTGAAGACAATTCAAGGAGGAGTCGTTATAACAACCAGAGAACAACAATTGGCTTATTGATTCTGGAGCAACCAATCACACTACAAATAATAAAAATATATTATCTTCTTTTGTAGAAGATAAATTTGTAATCAAAGTAGCTAATCAAGAAAAGGTTCAAGTAATAGGTAGAGGGAATGTAATCTTACCAGGCCTAGGAAAAGTAGAGGGGGTATTACTAATACCTGAGATACCTCATAACATACTTAGTGCGATAAAACTAAGCAGAGATTCTGACATTAACATTGTGTTCTCAAAAGGAAAGGCAACATTAGAGAAAAACAGAACAAATATAGGCACAGTAATAATCAAAGGAGGTCTACCTTATTTAATGACAAAGGAGAAATGGTTAAACAACATTGATTCAAATATGGAAGATGACAATGAAATAGATAATGGAGACAATAGTAACAGTGACAATGAGGAACATGAAGTAACTCATAACCACAAAGATACACACAATAAAAAAAAACCTAAAATAGGTAAACCAATTCACGATGAGTGTGCTCATGTCTTACATAGGAAATTAGGACATGCCAGTTTTCCTGTAGTGCAAAAGATGACTGAACATGCAGAAGGTGTTAAAATAAAAAATTGTGAAAACTATTTGGAATGCTCAGTATGTAAATCTACAAAACTCAAAACTAGTCCCAGACCTAGAAAGTCAACGAGATCAACTAACAAAATTTTTGATTTGGTACACATGGATCTAGTTGGTCCATTAACACCATCAATTACTTATAAAAAACGTTACTTTCTAACCATTGTGGATGATTATAGTCGTTATGGATTTGTTTACACATTAAAACATAAAGATGAAACCTTTCAGAAATTTAAGGAGTTTTACAAACGTATAGAAACACAACACAATATTAAAATAAAACAAATCATGACAGATAGGGGATGTGAATTCATGTCTAAGGAATTCTCCCAATGGCTAAAAGACAAAGGAATGTTACATTACACATCTAGCCCATTTTCTGCATTCCAGAACGGAGTGGTAGAGAGAAAGAACTCAACATTACAAACCATGATTAGATGCACATTAGAGGATGCTGGCTTAGGTAAACAATTCTGGTCAGAAGCCCTACAATATTCTAATTACACACAAAACAGAACTTGGTCCAGTATTGTAAATAAGACACCGTATGAAGCAATGTATAACAGAAAACCAAAACTAGCACACATGCACATATTTGGAGTCACTGCAGACGTACACATACCTAAACAATTGAGGCGCAAAGGTGAGAACGTATCCAGAAGACTTAGATTTATGGGATACGAGACAGGTACAAAAGGATACAGATTTATCGATAGTAATAACAAATTTATAGTTTCCAGAACAGCTGTGTTCCATGAACAGGCCAACTGGTCTAGAATACATCTTAACGAAATATTCCCAAACACCAACTCAGGCACTAAACTCCAAGAAAAAGGGAATAGAGAAGAACATAGTAACACGCATAAAAATAAAGTCAAAACATGGACAAATAGTCAATACAAAATAAGAACAGATTCATTAACAAAAAAGGAAGCGAGGTATATGCATGACAATGATACTAAACCAGAAAGAGCAATCAGAAGTAGCAGAAACCAAGTGCCAAACAAATACAAAGATTATGTAATGCATATGGATAGAGAATCACCAACACCTAACACATATGAGGAAGTGTTAAAACTACCCCCTGAAGAAAAGAAAAAATGGGAATCAGCCATGAGTAAAGAGATGGATAGTTTACGAGGGCTAAATGTATTCACACCTACAATTGCACCAAAGGACAAAACCATCATTGGCACTAGGTGGATATATAAAATTAAAAATTTAGAGGGAGGCAATACTCTATACAAAGCTAGATTAGTTGCACAAGGTTATGCACAGAAATATCCCGAGGATTATACAGATACATACTCCCCCACAGTAAGAACAGAGAGTGTCAAGACAGCTCTGGTTATAGCATCAGCACTCAACCTCGATGTATTCCAATACGACATACAGACTGCGTATTTACATGCAAAATTAGATAAAGAAATATATGTGAGGGCACCCCACAGTCAATACACAAACAAAGATGAAACTTGGTTACTAAATAAAAGTTTATACGGGTTGAAACAATCTGGTAAACAATGGTATGATTGTTTAGTAAAAGTACTCAAAACTATGAATTTCAATGCCACTACTGCTGATAATTGTTTCTTTGTCAAAAAAGAGGATGATTCACTAGAATTTGTATTGATCTATGTGGATGATATTTTGTACATAGGTAAACATAATGAAAGGAGAGAAGCATTTGTAACAAAACTGAATGAACATTTTTCATTGAAATCTTTGGGTAAAGTAAATAAGTATCTTGGTGTTCAAATCAGTAAAACCAGAAGAGGATTTAAGCTTTCTCAAAAGGACAAAATCATAGAGCTCTTGAATAAATGTAATTTAAGTAATGCTAAGCCTTGCGATACTCCAATGCAAATTGATTTTTTGAAGAATACAGATGAATCATCCCCTGAATTCAAAGACAATACATTTTACAGGTCAGTCATAGGTTCACTTCTTTATATCTCCAATTGGACTAGACCTGATATTGCTTTGCCTCTCAACTTATTGTCCAGACATGTTAGCAAACCATCACTATACCATTGGGAAGCTGTCAAAAGGATATTAAGATACTTGAAGAATAGTTTAGACTTCTGTTTGTTATTGGAACCTAATACTGTCAAAGAGCCCATCCTCACATGTTATGCCGATGCGGATTGGGCTGGCGATACCTCATGTAGAAAAAGCACATCTGGTTATTTATTTTTCCTTAACGGTTGTCCAGTTTACTGGTATACTGGCAAACAAGATCTAGTAGCCACTTCAACAACAGAGGCAGAATATGTTTGTCTATCTAAGGCAGCAAATAACCTTGTATGGTTTAATGATTTACTTTCTGATATTTGGAAGAAACCCATTTTGCCTTTTATTATGCATGAAGACAATAAAGCTGCTATCGAAATATCTAGGTCTGATGCTATTGGACAAAGGTCCAGACATATAGATATAAAGTTTAAACATGTGAGACAATTATCTCAAGATGGATTTATCAAAGCAGTTCATTGTGAAACATCAGAGCAAATAGCTGACATATTAACAAAGCCTTTGCCGTCTAAGCAACATAAATACTTGACTTCTAAATTACATGTCTTATATTGTTCTGAATCTGATTGTAATTGTTGTAATATGTCGAATCGGCATTTAGAGGGGGATTTGTCACAAGTAAATGCCTTATTCTCCATTATGTAAATAGTACATGAACAGGGTATCAGGGGTTAACTTATTCTTCACCTCTTAATGTATTCATATTTCACCACTCCCATATCTAGCTCCACCCATTGTATATATAAGGAGCCGCATACATCCATTTTGTGCTTCTATCTGTGAATATTCAGTGAATATAGAATGCCTTATGTAAATAAATAGTGATTTATTTGAATTTATAATTCTCAACTTATTTATTGAGTCTGATCCTGAAAATATCATAACAAGAACAATGACGCCAAACTGTAAGAGCTGAACCAAGATTCTCACAATTCAACAGACTTTCCCTTCTTCTAGTTTCAGTTGCAAAAACCGTGTTCAGGAGGATGTGTGAAAGAAACCCCTCAAAGTGGTAGCTGTGGAAAGATGGCCTCAGCTTTGGCCCCATTGTACATATGTTGGCCTTGAATTCATTTCTAAAAGGGGGGGTTTTGTCTTATTGCTGCA